GAGAGAGATTCTAAGTTCCATTAGGCATTTCATATAAGCTTGTATTCACGATCTTGCATTCATGTCAATCGTATATTGTTCTTTTCTTTTCTATTCGGACTTCTTTTTCTTGCAGAGTGTATACACATCGGATGATCCACACTTTTTTGGAGCTTGAGCTGGTAAATATATATCAATATTTGTTTGAATTTTTTTTGAAAAATAATTTTCCATGAATGTTTGATACGCAAAATTGTATTTTAAAAAGAATATATTACTTACATCTAGAAAATACAATACTCGTCGTGGTTGTGTTTTTTCGCTCAGACAATTGTGTTTTTTGGCGTAATGAATCTTTCTCGAAGATTAGACACAACACAGTTTGTCAAAACTGAAGCTTTGACATGCCTTACTTCATCATTCTAATAGCTGCTAAATAAGTGGACATTTAATGCGTTCAACAACACTTAGTTGATTATACTTATTTAAACGTGAAAAAAAATATCTTCAATGTCTGCAATGGCGTTGCGCTGCTTCCTTTTCTTGATAGTTGATGGTTGGCCAGAATTCCAGCAAGATCTTGATGTGATCGTTTCTTCAGGATATAACTACCACACATAGAAGACAACTACGAGACTTTAAAACAAAAACTCGGTACATGGTATGTGATAAGAATGTTTTCTTTCAGTGATGACTCACAGAAAGATTCAAAATTGTTTTACGATAATGAATATTTTAATCTTAATAATTCTGCAATTATTAATTTTATTATTAAATTGTATATATTTATTATTGTATAGAATTTATGAATTGAAATAATCTCTTCAGGAATTTTACATTGATATTAATTTGTAATGACCGATCGAAAAAAAGTTCCAATAACCATTTTTTCAACGGTGGCTTCGCTCTGTATGATTTGACACGCATAATACCGATGTGTGTCAGAAAATGACGTCGATATAAATAAGCTGACGGCGGAGCGTGCGGGCGTGCTACAGATGGCGTCGCGCCACAGTCAGCACGCCTCGTTCGTCGTCGCGTCGTCGAATTCCGCCCTCCGCCCAACGCCCGCGCGCCGCGTCCCAGTTATGATTTACGCCCGCGTACATTTCGATATCCTCGAACATGACGCGGCTAAGTTAGCAGCGTGAAATGGAAATAGGCGTGGGATAAACGGCTGCGATTTCGTAAAGCCTGGGGCGCGTCTGTGTTTCACTGGGTCGCGGCCTCGTGTGAACGGCTGGCGGGACGAGGCAAGGACAACGTGCGGTCGCTTCGGCCGGAGCTTCCGTGCTTGACAAGAAATAGATGTGAGATAATCTGCGCCCTCAGAGCTGTTACATCTCGGGCAGCGAGAGCTCCACCTGCGGTTATAACCGGTTCCTGGTTAGGTTCGCTGCCTTTCACGCAGCCATATCGACGGAGCAAGATATAGCTTCGTTGAAAACGCTTCCGCAATCTTTTCGGGTTTACTGCGGCGGCAACTCGACACTTTACGCTGCTGTGACCTTACGCAGAGCGGTAAGTTTTTTAATCGTGTGGTTGGCGTGAGAGTCGCGGGAATCAGGCTACATAGATGGAGTATTTCGTGAAGCAGCTAGTGGTTGCGGCGCTGGAAGTTCGTAGTATGGTGGAGAGAGGGAGACATAAGCGAAACCACTTGGTTATGTTGGAGGTTTTTGTACGTTGGGCGGTATGTTTCTACGTCTTGTTGAATTGATGTGTTGTCCATTGTTTTAATTGTATCCAGTTGTGTAAAACTAAGTAAGTTTAAAGCAGTAATTCCACTTGAATAAGAATAAAACGAATTCTTAAGATTTTTGTTTAACAAATTGGTAGCATTCTCAATTTAACGAAATGTTAATTCGATATTGTAAATTTTTTATCCATAAAACTAAATTATCTAACAAAGATACATTTTCAAATTAACAAAACAGAATTACACTGTCGCAAAACATTTTTATGAAGAAGCGTTTTTACTTCCATGAAAGATAATTGACATTTGACGAAATGTATGGGGCCATTCGTTATATTTTATATTTTTTAATTTTTTTTTTCTCACGGCTGCGGAAGAGAATGGCAAACTAATACTAAGTGTTGAGAAGCTTCAGAATGATAATGATTATTTGAGGGTAATGATTGTCCTACTGCATACCTTCTCAACTATTTTCTTCCTTTTTGTATAAGGGGGAAAGGAAAAAAGATGACGCGCATAATTCCGAATTTTAACTTGTTTGTCTGGAACATCATTTTTTTGCACAAAGTGTTTATAAAGCATTGTTAGTTCCGCTCTCAAAAACTATGTGTTTGAATTTTCGCATTATTAATTAATTTATTATTCGTTATTTGTTTTATTTTATATAGTCTTACGTTCGTCTTTGTTTCATGTACTGTTAAATTTCGCTACACTTGTTGGTCTTTATCTTCAAACGTTTTTATCCAAGAATCACAATTTCCTTCTTTCGTTCAACCTGTTTTGCAGTTCACGGATTCCCATTGCTTAGCTCTCTATTCTGACTCTAAAAATACATGACGACGTGTTTTTTGAAGCAAATAAACGTTATTTAAGTTCTAATTCATTAAATAACATCGACCGTCGAGCTGAGCATACACTGTACCGCACGTCACTGCACTTGACTCACGCGGTTGGAAGTAAGCAAGACGTGAAATATTACCTTCGCCTCGTGCGCGTTTGCTTTCTCAAGGGGAATAATAGGAGAATGAAAATCCGCGAAGACCGATCGCGAGTATCACTGCAAATGAGGCTGTCGTCGGGAGGTTCGGTGCGATGGCGGTGAGGGTGAAGTAACATGTCGGCTTGCCTGCCTCGCATCGGGAGAATTACGGAATATAAGGAATTGCGATGTGGTATGTTGCCGTCACGTGGTGGGGGGGGGCATTAGTCATGCGAGAGAATAAAGTGTAGTGATGCGCACTCCTATAAGATCACAAGAATAAGGAACATGTGCGATAATATCGAATGTGATTGTGGTAGGGTGTATAATGTGAAGTGCTAAAAGGGATTAAGGTGAAAGATTCACTTGTTTATTTATTAAGATAGGAAGCACGAGATGATATATGCAAAATGAAAGTAATATGAGCATGTCAATAGATATCTCAGGCGGAAGTTAAGAAACGGACAGAGAAATGGCTGGTTGATCGGAGAAGTTGACACACAACAATCGCCGCCTGTTATAGTCGGGGGACTTGAAAACATTGCATTGGGAATTATGGTGGGTGGCTATGATAATGACAGCACTGTGACATCACAGCTGTTGCGTCAGCGGTGCTCGCTTTCCACCTCCTGATCACTACGTGGAGAAGATGATACTATCATTCACGGGGATATAGGTACCTCAGGATTTTATATGCCGGATAGTGTAGAGGGATAGGATAGGAGGAGTATAGTCTATGACAATTTCTGCGAGTGCCGAGTCAGCAGGCCGGAACGCATAGTTATTAATACTCGCGAATTACCGGGTGTTCAAATTGTAGGATTTAGATCCTGAGTACGCATGTTGATAGTCGAGCAGGTGAGGATGTCGGGTTTGTTGCTCTCGTTCCTCAGGTTGTAGAAATAACCTCGGTCGAGCGCACTGCGCGCACGCGACTCGTGCTTAAAGGCGAAGACGAGGATACCCGCATTAATTTACTAGGGACTGTCGGTGAGGCGGCGCTCCAGAGGACTGCGACTTTCTCAGGGCGTAATGCTACGATACTGAGGAAGGTCGCAGATGGCGACGCGAAGCGGTGGCACCATTCGCCATGGACGCGGCGTCACGCGGCACAGGGCCTAAGTAATGCAATGATCGGCGGCGCGAGAGCTAGGCTCTCACACGTATCTCGTTAACATGCGCTAATGTCGTATATTAGCAGCAGGAGGGACATACCGTTAGCTCAGTGTTCTCCTGAGGGACGCTGGTTCATATCATATGAAATAATGATAAAACAGGAACCAATTATGGTGTTAGTTTGTTAGAAAGATAAGTTTGGAAATGGTTATCGTACAGGAGTTTTGTGAAGCGTGATCCCCGAGGCTTACAGAGGGCGGTGGAGTGGAGCGGTGGAGGCGTGGGTGGCGCCGGGTGGGGTGACGTGGGGCAGGTGCCGCGGCGCGGCGCCTCAGTGAGTAGTCTCCCCTTTGGGGTCGCAAACATTCGGCGCGGCTGCGGCGATGTCTCTGTCGAGTGGTGCATTTGCTCGATGAGATGCACGCGCAGGCTGACGTCGACGGAGTGTTATTGAGGCTGACTAGGAAGATTCGGAGGTCAACATGTCTGCATTGTTTCTCCTGCGGGAAACTTGGCGCCTCCGGAGATTATTTTCTACTTTCATTTTGTATGTAGGACGTAAAAGTAAAATTGGTTTGCTTTCAAAATAATCAACCTGTGATAGAATACGCGCAGGCAATGAATGGGATATCGAATGGAATTTTGAAAATATTGTTCTAAACTCAAAGTGTTTGGTAGGCATAATTGGATGTAATATGGTTTAGCATTGTCTGTGAAAGCAAGGAGGAGGAGAGGTGTACTGTGCTACATGGATGTGCTAGAGTGCGACACAGCACACATTAGCGAAAGCTCGACTCATATACAGCGTCTGTTGTGTGATGACACTTTGGCTCACGCTCGCACGAGCTGCTTGATGGCCGCGCACGAGCAAATATATTGATGGAGTGGTAGATGCGGATCGAGTGCGTAGTGATCTAGATAGTCTGAATGGACTTCGGTGGATGTAAGGGGTGACTATACAGCGAGGTGAGATGCTCTGTTATCACAGCAGTGGGAATTGGTTGGATACAATATGACGCGATCGGTCGGTGACGAATCCGGATTGCGGAGAAGCTCTGTGAGCTGAGAGTTGCATGGAGGTTATATTTTATAGTGTGCAGTGGGAATACAAAGTGGCGGAGTATAGATCTGGTATTTGTTGAGCTCTATTGATCTTAATGTAGCGATGATTATAGGGATATATAGATGATTGTCGATGATGATGGTG